CAGAAAGGAAGGTATACGATTGCTTTAAAAATGGAAAAGAGGAAAGAGGTAAAAATCTCGGATTTTTAAGTTCGTTCAAAGGACGACGTCGATGACGTCGACTTGATGGTTGCTTGACGGCGGCGGTATCGTTTTGTCTCGACCCACGCATATCGTTCTTAGAAACCCAGGTGTACGATAAAGAACGATAAACGAAGTATCATAGTACGCGGTAGATTACCATGGACGACTACGATTACGGCTACGACTACGATGAGAAACCATCCAAACTACGAGATATCAGAGAGAGAACCTGCTATTTTTACAAAACCATTTATATATGCTTATGTACATATATATATATATATATATATATATATATATATATATGTACTTATGTGGCTTACTCTCTTTCCATGATTCTTTTTTTCTTTCTATTTTTTTTTTCTATCTTTCTCAATATAATATTCAATATATAAACAGTAGAATATTTGTATGCATCCATCGACGTCGTTATATCTTCACAAATGTATTGTATTTATATCATTATTATTAATTACCAGAAATTAGTCGATCGTAATCGGCTTACCTACCGTTAGGTGGCGGGGGGGGGGGAAGAGAGTGGGAAACAGTCAGTATTAACCAATTTATGCAGGGGAATGTATTACGAATGTTCATTTAATGTTTTTGGATTATCACCATAGTTAAATGATCTTACAATTAGTTATACGTGTATATTATCAATTATATTTCTTTAAAATATTTTACGTAATATTCTATATAGAACGTATTACCGAAAAGTATCTTTTTTTAATATTATTATTATTATTATTATGATGATGATTATTATTATTATTATTATTATTATTATTATTATTATTATTATTATTATTGGAGAGAACACACATTTATCGTACGTTTTTGTTAAATGTATAGGACAGAATCGACTTGGATATATACGTAATATGTAAATGAAAGGATATCGATCGACGTCGATGTTATTATTATCACGCTTGTCCTCCTACATGTTGTACTGTAGGTGAGTGTTAAACGCTTCGTTATAACCAGGAGAAGAGCGCATCTAACCGCACGATCATTATCGATCTGATGGAAAGGCTTTTCATTTGCTACAATGTCATCCTAGTTCCGGCAACGTTTGTTATTATGGAATTGTTTAAAGACATTTGATCGGTGTGTATCGTGTACGTGTGTAGATAAATAGAAACCTGCTTTCTGCTTCGGATTTCTATCTATCTCTATGTGTGTATGTACACACACACACACACACACACACACAAATATAAAAGTATATAGTATATATATTCTCATTTGTATGGGTTCGGTCGTCGTCCGTCGATGGTGTAGAAGAAGCAGCAAGAGTGGTATCGAGAAAGGCTCGCCTAAACTACCGCATTTATCTCCGTCTTTTACCGTGGCTACATTTATCATGCAGCTTTGATGGTGTACTACGTATATTTCTTGAGTGTTTGCGCATCGTCGTTTTGCGTAAGCGAGCAAGTACTCGAGGAAGACTTTTTAATCCATCCTTGCATGTATATACATAGATATATCGTGTCTCTCTCGTTGAACTTTGGACAAAGCCCGATTATACCTCTAAGACTGTGCCCCGATTGTCCTCCCAGTCCACAACGTTGGACGTTGTTCATTGTGTATGCCTACCACCATCTTCTTCTACCTCCGTTATATTTCTTTTCAATATGTCACTAGAAGGGATCAGTCCTTCGATTTTTACGGTAACCACTTCTTAAAGTGGAACCATTGGTATCATCCTTCGTGGCTTGCTGCCTATCTTGAGAATCATAAGAATGCGTGACCGTTACTGTTTTCTCAATTGAAAGATTCTTCTTTGAGAAAGAAAGAAAAATCTGATCTTTTAAAAGGACTATATTTGAATCTTCTTTTTTTTTTTTCTTTTCTTTTTTCCTTTGGTCTTAACATTGAAATTAAATTAAAGATTATCCTTCCTTCCTTCCTTCTCTCCTCTCTTCCTTCCTTCCTTCCTATCTTCTATCCTTTCTTCCTTTATTTCGTCCCACTTCGACTTCATATATATTCATGGTGTTAAACATCGTGGACCTGGTAAATATTCATTCTTCTATACAGAGGGAAGATAATCGAATCTGTCTCTCTCTCTCTCCCTCTTTCTCTCTCTTTCTACCCCCTCTGTTTTTGTCCTTCCGTGAAGAAAAAAAAATTCAAAACTAAAAATTCAACTTTGAAGGTCAATCGAGATGTTAACAATGATAAGATTAAGCGATTAATCGAATACTTTGTTAGCGTTAAAATCAAATGAACTTTTCGTTTTCTAACTATAATAGCTCGTTGATTCGAGAGAGAGAGAGTAACTAAGGAGTTCGAGAAGTAATGAGGAGTAGAAGAAAAATAAAAAAAGGAGAAAAGAATTAGAAAAAAGAAAATAAGAGACGTCCCATGGAGCCGAAGAGAAAGACACCATTGGTCGAGGATAAAGCGTTTAGAGTAAGTGCTTGGCAATAAACGC